GTAAAATTAAAATACCTAAAACTGTTATAACAAAGTAAATTTTTTTAAAAAGTTTAAAACTGCCTACTTTTATAAGTCTACCATGCCTATCTACACTTAGTCCTCATTTCCCACACTATAAACAGAATGTAGTTCCTGACAAATCTCTTCTCCAAAATCTTTCCTGATTCTTCTTTTGACAGATAATCTAGACCTGAAACTTGACCTTCCAATATCTTGACCTATCCAATATTGAATATCTGATCCCTGCATCTCTTATTCTATGCATTTTCTTCCTTCTGTGGTACTGAAAACTAAACCCAGATATGCTCTACATTGAGCTACATAGCCAGTCCTTTTCTTGAGACAAGGTCTCATTAAGTCACTCCAACAGGTTTTGAACTTGCCATCCTCATGCCTCAGTCTCTTGAGTAGCTGGGATCTCATGCAGCTGTGTGATACTATTTTTCAGGAATTAACTATTGCTCCAAAGAAAATTATTCTCCCCATTATCTGTGCCTTCACATGATATTCCAGACCTCAAGTTCACCCTTAGCTCCTTTACCATCATCCCTCCACTTCTGTTACCTACACTTGTTTTTCTATTTTCTCATCCATAATAGCATATTTTCTTTTCTCTCAATGGATCAAAACTACAATAATTGTTGTTTGTATCTCCAAGAGAAAAAGGCTTAATCAGCTGCTTATATGTCCAAATCTAACAATTTTCAGGGTAAGAACTCTGAATTGTTTCATGAATCAACATTTCTACTTTAATGTCTCATGATTACTTTAAAAAAAGAAAAAGAGGGACTTGGGTGTGGCTCAGAGATGGAGAAATCATCTAGCACACATGGGGTGCTTGCTGGGTTTGATCCTCATCACCACATAAAAAATGAAGATATTGTGTCCACCTACATCACTATGGGACAGATATTTAAAAAAAAAAAAAAAAGAAAAATCAATAGCGGGCCATGGTGGCATCCGCCTATAATCCCAGTGGCTTGGGAGGCCGAGACAGGATATCCTTGAGTTCAAAGCCAGAAATTGCCAGGTACTAAGCAACTCAGTGAGACCCTGTCTCTAAATAAAATACAAAATAGGGCTGGGGATGTGGCTCAATGGTTTAGTGCCCCTGAGTTCAATCCCCAGTAACAACCCCACCCAAAATCAATTATTTTAGAAAGCCAGGCAAAGTGGCACATTACCTGTAATTCCAGTGACTTCAGAAGCTAAGGCAGGAGGATGGCAAGTTCAAGACCAGCCTCAGCAACTTAGCACAATGCTATCTCAAAATAAAAGGACTGGGGATATAGTTCAAGAGTAAAGCACCCCTGGGCTGGATCCCCAGTATCCCCAACAAAAAAAAGATTTTAGACTTTTCCACACCTTCCTATTTTTTGGAGGGAGGGAGGGGGTTGGCAAATAGGGGATTTAACATAGAGGTGCTTAACACTGAGCCACATGCCCTGTGCTTTTTGAACTAAGTTCTCACTAAATTGAGGAGGCTGGCCTTGACTTGCCATCCTCCTGCCTCAACTACCCAGTTCCTGGAATTACAGGCATGGGCTGATTGTAATTCTAACTTGCTCACCTTGTTTTCATTCTCTACCCCCTTACTGGAAGTTAGAATCCCAGTCATATCAAATTTTACTTTCTCTTTTCCAATTAGATCCACTACCAAAACTTCAGTTAACCCTGATATCTAATCCCTTTGACATGCCAGACCAGGTAACAGGTAATCCCACCCTGTACTGGAGACTGACCCCAGGGCATTTTACTAATGAGCTACATCCCAAAGCCTTTTTGTTATTTTGAGATAGTCTCACTTAATTGCAGTGTTTGGCCACTTAATCTCCTTTCCTTGGCCTCTCAATGCAAGCCTATGCCATTGTGATAAGCTTCTTTCTTGGATTTTAAGAGCTTCCCTTTTGACCAAGGAGTTTCAGCCTCATTTTCCTCAAAACACATCTCCACACTACTTTAAGAATTACATTACTGAAAATAAAAACCTGATGTGACTTCCCATTTCAGAATTTTTCACTGACTTACTACTGGATAAAATACAAACTCCTGGCAATGTACTAAAATTTTTATGATCTGGCCTTAAAGTTCTGTTCCTTTAACTTCCTCTAAGAGCATTCCCTGATCTCTTAATATCTTATCAGGTATGCATCTTCACATGCTTCTACACAATGTATTGCTCATTCTTATTCATGTTGCTACTAAGTTCAAGTGTCTCCCTTAACAAGACTATCCCAAAACAGGAATTATACTTTTTTATGTCTAAAACTAGGAAAAACAAATGCATTTGTAAAGCTAACAAGAAATAAATCAAACCAAATCTATAGTACATGTGTGCCACACAACAGAAAGTGATAACTTTCATACAATGAACAATATCAATAAAATTTGGACCTCTAAAAAAAATTCCAAACTGGGTGTGTAGCAAAGTAGCAGAGCGCCTGCCCAGCATACTCAAGGCTCTGGGACCAATCCCCAGCACCACACAGAAACACTCCATATTTTGCTTCCCTACCTCAGGATCTTCTGCTTTGACTTTCTCCCATTCTATTTTGCTTTTTGGCAAAATGTATTCACTTTACCTATTTTCCTTTTTAGGTCCAAGTATGTAAACAAGGAGAAATATGTAAAAATATGTAAATAAGTATGTAAAAAAGGAAACAAGTATGTAATTTGACCTAGCACCACAGCACTGTATAGTCCTTTAAAAGATATCATTCTACTTATCCTCCACATCAAAATATGTGAGAACTCTAAAAATTAAAATATTTTCCTGTAATCAGCAAAACACATCAATTAACTTTTTTCTCTCCCCATACTGGGGATTAAATCCAGAGAACTCTACCACTCATCTACAACTTTAGCCCTTTTCAGTTTCTTTGGTACCACGGACTTAACCATTAAGCCACATCCAACTCTGAGACAGGGTTTTGCTAAATTGCAGAGACTGGCTTTGAACTTGCAATCCTCTTGCCTCAGCCTCCCATTTCACCGGGATTAAAGGCATGTGCCACAACACAGGACTCTTCAGCCCTTTTTGAAAAATGTCTGTCTCAAACTGGTTTCAAAATTGCTGTTCTCGGGGCTAGGGATGTGGCGCAAGTGGTAGCGCGCTCGCCTGGCATGCGTGCAGCCCGGATTCGATCCTCAGCACCACATACCAACAAAGATGTGTCCGCCAAGAACTAAAAAATAAATATTAAAAATTCTCTCTCCCCTCCCCCCTCACTCTCTCTCTCTCTAAAAAAAAAAATTGCTGCTCTTCTATCCAGTCACTGGTATTAACAAGCATACCACTACAAATGATTTAAAAGTTGTAACTCCCATTATTCATGTCTTTATTAAATGTTATTCTTATAAATACTCAGGACTCATCCCTTCCTATTACATTAGGGAACACAGTGGATTGCCCACTAGCCTGCCGAGCCTCAATTCTCACTGGAAAAGGGGTCAAGTCTAGATCCTTTTTTTGTACTGGGCATTGAAGCCAAGGGCACTTAACCACTGAGCCACATCCCCAGCCCTTTTAGAGACAGGGTATCACCAAGTTGCTGTGGCTGACTTTGAACTTGAGATCCTCATGCCTCAAAATCCCCAGCTGCTAGGATTCCAGGCGTGTTGGAATCGCCATACCTGGCCCCTTTCCTCATATTCTTAAAAAATTTTCAGTGATAGCCTCCTAACATTAGAGCTTATCTCGTGGTTTGATTCATGTTAAATGTAAATGAGATAAATGCAGTCCAAAATTACTATCATAAACCCAGATTGCTCTAAATCAAACTGTCCTCACTAATTTGCAGTTATCTAAGAAAGCCTGCCTAATGTCCTCGTCTTGTTATTAATCACTAAAACAAGTCATTTTCATTGTAAATTACAGGTAAACTTCAGCTGTCATATTCATCAAAAAATTCTTGGGCTGGGGATATGGCTCAAGCCGTGGGGCGCATGCCTGGCATGCGCGGGGCGCTGGGTTCGATCCTCAGCACCACATAAAAATGAAGATGTTGTGTCCACCAAAAACTTAAAAAATAAATATTAAAAAATTCTCTTTAAAAAAAATTTCTCCAATCAGCCCAAATTAGGAATACATCATTATTCAACAATTAGTTTTACAAATAACTTAGGCTGCCTCCATTGGGAGTCATATCAAGCTACACACACTAAAGGCTTATCCCAACACACTTCCAGAGACACTGACCTACACCACATCCACTAAATTTAAATGACTCTACTTCCTATTCTTTGCAATGAAACCAAGTGGACCTCACACCTCTTACCATCACCCAGGAAGGGTGTGCATCTGATCCGAAGGCCCCCCTGGCTCCAGGTCATCCTGGCTGATGCTGCTCCAGGCTGGGCATCCATGTTGCTGCAGCTTGTGGTTTGTGAGGGGTAGTGTACAGGAAAAGCAGGATGGGATTTCAAGGGAAAGAGGAGGAAGATGGCTTTCTGGGAAAGTGCCATCACCATTATAGGTGTTAAGTAGTACCACACACATTTTATTGCAGCACAGTTTAAAAATTTAACAAATTAAAGATTAAAAATAAAAAAACAAAAATAAAAAAAATTAAAAATACAGACGTCCAGAGATGCTCTAAAACAGTTAAGTTAAAGATCAGGAAAAATAAGGTCACAGACTTAACAGCCAGTAAAATTATTTCCAGTGTGGGGAAGGGGTTGAGGACAAGGGTGGGGTTGGGAGAGAAAAGGTTTATGTGATCAATCCACTTAAAAATGCTAATGCCTTCACTCTCTCTCCCAAGATGCAAAACTCCAAAGTCAATCAGGAGGCCGAAGAAATTCTTATGAACATTCAGAAAAACTCGATTTAATCCGGTTAAAAATCATCAGTGTCATTATCATCATCATCATCACCATCATAAGTATATAATAATAATAATAATAAATAATAATAATAATAATAACTAGTAACAACAATAAAAAGGAAATCAGCGGAAAGTCAGGAAAAATGTAAAAAAAAAATTGGAATAACTTACTGTAGCTGAAGATCAAAAAAATCTCACTGTAAAAAAACAAAAATAAAAATAGCCCAGATTAGAAAAACGGGAGGTGCAAAAATGTTAAGTCAGTAAAGTTCATTTCTTTTTTTCTTTCCAAAAGCAGTTTCCACAAAAACCGCAAGGGTAATGTTCTCAGTAGCAGACAAGCAAAGCCCTTTCCACATCATCAATCAATCTTAAAAATACACGAGGAAGTATAGAGGTCAGTTTATGAGAGGCTAAAAGGCTCCTCCTCCTCTAACCCAACTGCTGCAGAAAAAATAGAAATAGAAATTTTAAAAATTACATCTGAAATCCAGGTCCCGTTTTTGGAAATTTAAAAAAAACACCTGTAAATTTGCTGTAGTGCACACCAAGTTGCATCCTTATGTTTAAAATGTCTTTATAAAATCATTTTGGAATGGGAATGTGTGTGTTCTGGAAGGGTGGGGGAGGGAGGTTAAAAATCAAAGCTGAGCTCCAGTGAGTAGGGATGGGGTTCGCCTTGCTGCCCTGTGAAAGGAGAAGGGACAGATTGAGTCAGAGTTCCTCAGAAATGTTGTGCCCTAAACCCCCAAGACAGAAACATCTGTCTATTGCATCTAACACATTTTGGTAAAGCATTAACATTTCACTGGAATGGGGTAAGCCTTGATAAGCATTATCACTGCTACCAGTGACTGTTATTTACAATTCAACATCAATAGATGGCCAAATAACTAAATACATGTCAGAGTCCCCTTAGGGGGCTCTGAAGAGAGTATACATATGAACAAGTCATCTCAATAATCTTCAGTTTGGGCACGAAAAATACAAAAAAAAAGTAGGCCAACAAATGGAGATGAAAAAGTGAGCAAATATCAAATACTGAGGTTATGAAGGTAAGCAGACTCATGTACTTTTCTTGAGTAATATGGACTGAATGTGAATGGTCTATCATGAAGATATGAACTAAAGATGAGTTACCTACTCTCAAAACCAATGAGTGATCAAACCAAAAGGCCTAATGAGGTTCTACAGTTAGGGGGAAAGGTATTTTAAATAAGGAGCCCATTTAGTCCACTCACTGACAAATGAAAAATGATACAGATGGAAGAAAAAAATTAACTATTGTGGCTACTGAATATTTAATGTAATAAAACATGTGAAATAAAACTATGGTCTTTACAGAATGGTTCTGTGGGGTTTTTTTAATCATCTAGTATAGTGAATTGGAAGACTCTTGATACATAATACCATACTAAAATAAATTACACATGACACAATGGGTGTTTCATCAGTTAAAGGAATTAGACTGTAGCTAATAGGAGTAAGCATGAATTGGTGGAGTCACATTTCCATACTGTCATATGGTCTTGTTCTCCCTAAATTTGAGTAAACTATAAGAATTTTAACCTGACCTTTGAAAATGTGTGCCTTGAGCCGAATATGTATGAAAGACTACAGCAACAGAACAGGTAATAAAATTCAGATTTTTAAGTAAATTTTTAAAAAGCAGACATGTTTACACATAACATACTTTTATATTTAATGGGTAATAGTGTACAAATGTAAATACTATAGAAAATATTAAATACTATAGAGAATGTACGTTTGAATATTATCCCCTTCAAGTCAGTATTGAAATTACTGTGGAACACTCCTGTGTGGAATCATGTTCTGAACCTGGTAAAAAAATTTGTCAGAATGTTAAATTTATGGCTTGTCCACAAATCCTTTGCATATACACTGCAAGACACACCCTTAAAATGCATGAAAAGAAAGCATTTACATTTCTCAATGCCAAGAAAATACCATCCTTTAATGTTAATCAAGACACCACATCATACCAGGAAAATCTATTGCAAAGCTTTTCAATTAGGAGTTATCACAGATCAGTCAAAACCCATTAAGTCTGGATTCCTTCTTCTAAAATGGTATTCTCAAAGTGACTTATGCCAACCAATAGCATGAACGTCATCACTTGGCACTCACTAGAAATGCAAATTACAAGGCATCATCTGAATTAATTAGAAACTGGTGGGAGACCCAGCAGTTCAACCTGTCTTCAACTTGTCTTCTAGTTAATCCTGTGTTTGAGAATTATTGTGAATATTTGAGAAAACCTTACCCCCTAATCAATTCCTTAAAGTGCCTTACGTTTCCAGTGTATTATCTGTCACAATGCTAGAAATGTTTTCCTGATCTAATATAAACAAACCCCCAAAAATGTAACCCTCCGTTCACAGTAAATATACCAAAGGAGTCAAAACCCAATGGTAATCTTTTTTCCTTTTATAAATGCAAACATTAGAGCATCTAAAACAGCAGCTGCAGTTATACTATACCTAACATTTCTGGTTTTCACAAATCAGAAAAATAAATCTAATACATACAAGCAAACTATAACCTCCTGTTTCCAATGACAATGAACACATAAATATTAAGCAAGAACAAACAATGCTCCCAAAAAACAAATATTAGCCGGGAATGATACCAGAATTCCAGATACTCAGAGGCTGAGGTAGGAGGATCACAAAGTTTCAAGGTCAGCCTTAGCAACTTAGTGAAGGTCTAAACATTTTAGGAAAGCTGTCTCAAAACAAAACATTAAAAGCCCTGGGGTTGTAGTTCAGTGGCTAAGTACCCTGGGTTCAATCCCAGGTCACCGCCCCTCCAAATGGCCTAATAAAATTTCAAAGACTGACATACAGTTTTTATGGTCAGTTGCTAATATTAATTACTAATTTAGAAAATTGCTTTTATTTTTTCAGTACTGGGGATTGAACCCAGGGGTGCTTTACCAACCTTCATCCCTAGCCTTTTTAAATTTTAGAGTCTCAGCTGAAGATAGCCTCAGGAATATCACTATACCCAACCAGAAAATTGCTTTTAATAAAAACTTTTTCCACTTTCCAGTCTTCTGGAAACAAGGTGATTTGCATTAGAGAAATTAAAATAAGAGCTGGGCGCCTTGGCACACAGAGAATTGTAGGTTCAAAGCCAGCATTAGCAAAAGCCAGGTGCTAAGCAACTTTAGACTCTTGTCTCTAAATAAAATGCAAAATAGGGCTGGGGAGGTGGCTCAGTGGTCCAGTGCCAGGGAGTTCAATCTCTGGTACCCCCCCCCAAAAAAGAAATTAAAATATAGTCTAAGCCTCCTGATTTAACAGCTATAAAACTCAAATCTAGAAGTTCCAATGATATGCCTGACATAACAGATGCAATGAGCAAGATAAAATTCAGTTCTCCAAACCCCTATGCCAGGATTCTTTCCACTGTTATACTCCCTAGTTAAAATCTCTCACAATCAACACTTCATTTTCCCCCCTTTTTGTGGTACTTTACCACTAAATTGCACCCCTCTTTTTTTTAGACAGTGTCTTAAGTTGTTGAGGCTGGCCTTGAATTTACCACTCCTTTTTTCTTTTTGAGACAGTGTCTTAAGTTGTTGAGGCTGGCCTTGAATTTGTAATCAATCCTCCTGCCTCAACCTCTGGGATTACAAATGTGCATCCCTGAACCTGGCAATTTAACTACTGATCTTTTACAACTAGCTATTTCGGAATTTATTCCTTGCTTGTTCCTAACAGTCATTTTATCTCAAATGATATCACATATTACGTCAAAACCTCTAGAGATCTAATTACAAACATAAGCAATATTTAAATTCTCTACAGAAGTAATAGCAACCACCATTAATTATTACCAAGAATGACTCAAGCATAACAAGATCTGAAGATCTACAACTTGTCATCCTTCCTAAACCCTTCCTCTGGGTACAATCAGATTCTTACCTAGTTGAGAAAACATCTAGATAGTCTGTGGTTAGAGCTCCTGATATACTTTGTTTCCTTGATACATGTGAATATCCAGTAACCCATATTTCTAACAAGTCAAGGGAAGAAAAGTACCCTTGAATTAATTTCAATTTTTATCAGCAACTTTCTTACATTCTAATTTCTGACATCTACCAATATTTTTGATAGATAATCAATTACAGCCCTTAACCTCATTTCTCTTTTTTTGCAGCACTAGAGATTGAACCCAGTCCTTACATGTATAGGCTAGCCCTTTTAAGACTGAGCCACATCCCCAGCCCTTTTTGAGAGAGTTGTGCAGACTTGGATCTTTCCCATCTCAGCCTCCCCAGTAGACAGGATAAAAGGAAGGCAAGACCACACCTTACCTTGGTTTCTGACTATTCAGCAGTGATAAATTTTTAAGCCCACGAATAATACACGTTTAGGCTTTTAAAAAGGCTTAGCCCTTACCCATATCAAACTGTTTCCTTAAATTAATGTATTAGTTTAAACCGTGATTAATGATATTAGTTTTGTTTAAAAAAAGTAATGATAAATCGTATGCAAGGATTTTTTTAAAATGTGATTTCCCAGATAGGCCAATGTGATACTACTTTAGTTATTATTTAAAGGGTGATGCTGAGGACTTTACCCAGGGTGTACTACAAGTTAAGCATGTGCTCTACCACTGAGCTACACCTGGGACCCATATTCTTTTTATGTTAGCCAATATTACAATGAGGTTTCAGCATTTGGCAGATAAAAGCACTACAATACTTGGCTTAATAAAAAGTAGCTGTGCATTACTGCCCAAGTTCAAATGTACAGAATTAATGACAATATCTTGAAGGTTCAAATTTTAATTCTGCGTCATAGTAAGTTACATTAATAACAAACCGAAGTCTGGTAATTTTTTTCCCCCCAAGTCCAGGAGTTTTGGGAATTCCAGTTACCAAAGAGTTTCTGTAACTGGTTCTCCTAAATTAGAATATAGGGTTTTAGCACCTAGTGTTCCAATAACTAGGTAAAACTACTTGACCTACCTAACATCAAATTCCTTAGTAGTTCTGCTACTGGTTTAATATAATCCTGTCAACCAACACTCTTAATGCCTCAGTTCCTGTCTGAGAAAGATATTAATACCTACCTCAGCAAAGATCCACTAACTTAAATATTTCAAGTGATTTGTAACCTGCAGATAAAAAAGTCAGCTGTAATTATTACTGTTAAATATAAACAATATTTCCTTTAACAAACAATTAAAAGTAAAACTTGGAGATCCAGCATTTGCTCAGCGAAAAATAAAAAGTAACCGGTAAAAATACTAAATCTATTGTTAAAATATTATTCCTATGCCATGCGGCATGTTCCGGAATTTATAAAATTCGCCATACCTCTACCCGTCCTCATCCCCCCCCGCCCAATTTTTAAATTTAAGGCAATGTTATTAAAAAGCACCAATTATACATTAACTGCAATTTTATTATGAGCCTCTCGGTCTTCACTTTCGTTATCTCGGAGTCCTGACGATCGTAGAAAATGAAAGGGAAAGAAGCCGTTAAACACACTAGAGCGAAAAAAGCACATTTTTCTTGCCGAGAGTAGCCTAAAGGACACTAGGTTAAATCTACGCAGAGGCTGGGGCCCGTAAACTCTCTCCTGCTCCAGATCTAATCCCCATTGCAGAAAAAATAAATGCGGGCCTGGTTACTCTGCCGAGGGGAAGGTTCCCTCGTCTTTTCTCCCACACCCTCTCGGTCTCCCTAAAAAACCCAGCGCCCCCACTGCGTCCACCCCTCCACTTACCAGGAGGGGGAGGGAGAAGAGATTCGATTCTGAATCTCCTACTCCCAGATTCTATATGAAGAAGTCGACCGCTGCTCGAGGTCAGGAAGGCGGCCGCAACCGCTCAGCCTTCGTCTCTTCACAAAATGGCCCCCGAGTCTCCTCTGCCGCCGAGGCGAAGACCTAAACCCCGCCTCACTCCCAAGAACCTTCCTATTGGCTGTTCCTCTTCTCGCTCCTGCTCCTAAATAGACAGTACTACCGCTTTTCACAATTCTGTCCAATCACAATCAGAAGTGGGTTAGTCCAAGTCGGAGAATTTCCACATGCGTGACAGAAACTAGTTTGTAACTGGCTATTATTCCTGTCATTTAGTGCTTGAGGAATGTTTATTGGCCACTGTACCAGACGAAGCGCCGGGTGGAAACTCGCCTTTGTATAGCGTACCGCTTCGCATCCGGGTATCTAGGAGCTCTGACTGGCGGCCGCATTGTCCTATCTCTGATTTTTAGAGTTCCTAGTAAAAGGTCCGCCCAGATCTCAGAATTCCCGCGGCGCGGGGGCAGGGAAGGGTTAGGGTGTAGCCAGGTACCGGGCGCAAAAGGACCTGCCCTAGCCTCGGGCATAGGAAAAAGAAAAGGCGCCAAATGAGGCCTCCGCCATGCCGCGTGGATAAAAAAAAAACACTGTCTTTGGAGTCAGAAGGGAGCATTGATAACTAGACCATGTTAAAATTGAGAAAACTAACCAGACTTGCAGTTTTTCCAATGCCAAATCCCTTCTCGTTTCCAAACTCACCTGCCTCCTGGACTTCTTAAAATGTTTGGCCTCCCAAACTCCGGCCCCTAATCTAGCCTAACTTGTTTCACTCATGAATATACAAACCAACCATTTTGGCCTACCTCTCCAAACCTGGTCTCTTAATTCTCATCCTGAAATGGGGCTGTCTCCCACTTAACCCGCTTTCTGTTCTCTCCTGCCAGTCCCTCTTGTTATATTATAGGAAGCTTGCACACATTGGACTTGCTCCTGCTCTGCTCAGAAAAGGAAGCCTTTTGTGTGCTGCTCTTAGGGAAGATTTCATTTATTATTAAGTAGATACAGCAAGGTACAAAGCACTGTCTGGGTAGTGTAATTTCACTTGTATGCTTCTTTTTGGAACCCGCTGTTTGAACTCAGGCGCCTAATCACTGAGCCATACCCCCATTCCCTTTTTATTTTTGTTATTTTGAGACAGGGTCTTTCTAAGTTGAGAGACGTGTACATATATGAAGGCAGTTTTATGTGCTCGTTTTGCATTAATTCTAAATTCCAGAGAAAGAAGGCTAGCTCTATTTTTTTTTCTTTTTCTTTTTTACCCTTTAAGCAGGGATTGAATGAACCCAGAGCATTTAACCAGAGTCACATTCGCAGTATGTTGTTTTTGTTGTTGTTTTTGAGCCAGGTTCTCCTTAAACTGTTTAGGGTCTTGCTAAATTGCTTGCTAATTGCCTTGAATTTGGGATCCTCCTGCCTCAGCCTCCTTAGTCGCTGGGATTACAGGCATGCAGCCCCACACCTGACTAGCTCCTAAGTCTGGGGGAGAGAAACTTTTTTAACTTTTTCATTGGTATCCCTTTCCATACCATGTGGATTCCACCACCACCACCACCACCACCCCACACCCACCACCACCACCACCACCCCCCCACACCCACCACCCCCACCACCCCCTCCCTTATATTGCGTTAAACTAAAAAGTAAAAACAAGAGACTTGGAAGGAGCCGGATGCGGTGACCCTTGCCTGTAATTCCAGCGACTCTGAAGGCTGAGACTGGAGGATTCGACTTAACATGGGAGGAAAAAAATATACTAAAGGCTTAAGAGTGGTTTTCACCTGATGGGGCTATTATATGTGATTTTTGTTTGTTCTTTCTTTTTCTTTTTTTTCTTTTTTTTTTTTTTTCTTTTGAGATGGAGTGTCCCGGGTTTCCCAGGCTATCTTTGAATTTGCAGTCCTTCTGTCTCAGCCTCTCCAATAGCTGGGATCACAGGCAGGAGCCACTATGCTGTCCAGCCACTATGCTGGACATATGACAGTGTGCGCGCACACTTTTTAATATTTTCTTAATCATTTACTTTGAATCAGTGGGGAAACATCTGACAAGTGCTTAAAGCCTCATCTGAATTGCCACATTGGAGTTTATTTCAAAGAACTTCATAACACTGGCATGAAGCAGGAAGAGGAAAAAAATAGGTAGAGACCTAAAAGAAGGACAAGAAAGGGCTAGGGTTGTGGCTTAGTGGCAGAGTGCTTGTCTCATACATGTGAGGCACTGGGTTTGGTCTTCAGCACCACATGAAAATAAATAAACAAAGATATTGCGTCCATCTATAACTAAAAAACATTTTTAAAAAAGGACCAAAAAAACCTACATTCTAATTCAGAAGTTTGTACTTCTGGTGGCCTGTCATTCCTAACACCAGTCTGACTACCAACCTTTAACTCCCAAATTTCTCAGAAATCTGTAAATCTACCTGTAAACTGTTACTTAACTCCCAATAAATATATTAAGTAAAGAGAGGTACAAATTTTTGAGAAATATATAATTTAGGGGATTTGCAGTGTTATCTATTGCTCAGATGATAGAGATCACATTGGCCTAAAGATCCTGAGATTGACCCTACCACCATAATCATATTAAGATCACCAGACTATTATTTCTACATATTCTCCCATACCTGCCCCTTAAAAGAACAACCAGGAAAACAGAAAATGCAACTGTCACTCTAGAGAAGGCTGGCATTTACCCATTAATGTGTGTATTTCTTGCTGTAGCCCCAAAGACACCCCTCCCTTGAGATTGTGTTTTCCCTTGAATATTAATCTACTATGACTCTTACTAGTGCATGCTGAAATTCTTTTCTGTTAAGTAACCCAAGGGTGCTACATACCCTGGGTCAAATTCTTCCTTCTCTCTGGGAACTCCTCCAGGGATCTCTTCTGTAACAACATTGGTTAATTTTACACTCTTCTCTTCTCCTGGAGATTAAGTCTTTTTTTTTTTCATAGTAGAGTTTAATTCTTATTCCTCTCTATATTTCTCTTGCTTATTACCTGGCATAGGGCCTTAAATAGAAAGTAAAGTTGGGTTTGATGGCCTGAACCTGTAATCCTCATTCTTAAGAAGCTGAGATGGAGGATCACTTGAGTCAAGGAGTTCAAAATCACCCTGGGCAGCATACTGAAACCCTGTTTTTTTAAAAAAAAAAAAATTGGCTCAGTGGTAGAGTTTTAGAGTTTTTGCCTAGCATATGAAGGGCCCTGGGTTCTATCCCAAGAATCACACACACACACACACACAAAAAGGAAAAAAAAAAAAAGAGTGGGAAAGAAAGAGAAAAAAGAAATCTGTTGGGTTTTTTTTTTTTTTTTTTTTTGTGTGTGTGTGTGTATGTGTGTGAAACTGGGGACAGAACCAGAACCTAGAGGTGCTTTACTGCTGAGTTACATCCCTGGCCCAATTTTTTTGGTGTTTGTTTGTTTGTTTGTTTTTGAGATATGGGCTTTCAAAATTGCTGAAGCTGGGCTGGAATTTGCAATCCCCTGCCTCAGCCTCACAAACAGCTGGAATTACAAACATGCAACACTATGCCTGGCTGAAATAGGTTTTTCTGTTTTGTTTTGTTTTGTTATATTTCTGGTGCTTGGTATCCAACCCAAGATCTCACACATACTGAATAAGTGCTCTACCACTGAGCTACTATTCTCAAGCCCTGAAATATGTATTAAATTAATTAATCCCAGGGCCTGCAGTTGTAGCCCAGCGGTAGAGCACTCGCCTAGCACATTCGAGGCCCTGGGTTCAATCCTCAGCACCACATATAAGTAAATAAAATAAAAGTGCTGTGCTCAACTGCAACTAATAAATAAATATAAGAAAAAAAATTAATTAATCCTTAACTATTTATCAGGGGAAATTTCTATTTTTCTGAGACAAATAGACTGTCCTTTCTTTTTATTTTTGTTTTTCTTTCTTTTCTTTTTTCTTCCTTTTGTGTGTATATGACTACCACTGAGCCACACCATGAGCCCTTTTTATTTTGAGACAGGATCTCCCTAAATTGCTAAGGTGGGCCTTGAATTTGCAATCCTCCTGCCCCAACCTCCTGAATCACTGTGATTATAGGCCTGCACCTCCACAACTGACTTGTCTTTTCTTATTTTATTTGTTTATTTTTATCTGGTGCTAAGAATGGATCCCAGTGCCTCACACATGCTAGGCAAGTGCTTTGCCACTGAGCCACAACCCCAGCCCCAATTTGTCCTTTATTCATTGTGTTCTTTTTATAGCACTTATTCAGGCCCAGGGCTAGGAGGCATGGGAGACATGTAATTCTATAATTCTTAACCTAAGAAAGCCAATACAAAACACCGATGTATATTTGTTCCTCATTGTTCTCACAGAATAAACATGTTTATAACATGTTAATAAAAACTACCTGTTTTCATTTACCAGAAAACAGTTTTAGAGTGAAGCATGGTGGCACAAGCCTGTATTCCCAGTGACTTGAGAGGCTGAGGTTGGAGGATCTCAAGTTCAAGCTAGCCTCATCAACTTAGTGAGACCCTGCCTCAAAATAAAAAATAAAAAGTGTTGGGGATATGGCTCAGTGGTTAAGCACCCCTGGTTTCAATCCCCCTTACCAAAAAACAAAAAAGCAGTTTTACTGCATGAACTTTGCCATGGCTTGCCTATTAACCAGCACTGTATTTGGTGCAAGGTAAGTACTTAAGAGATAGCATTCATGTTTTCAAGAAGTTGCCTCTAGACAACTCCTTGTTGTCTAGGGTAAAAGTAAAGGATATGATACACAAAGGAAATGAAGTCAACCTGCCAAAGAGATTCCTGTAGACCCATTTATGTGCCCAATGGTTAAGATATGAATCAGCCTATGTGCCAGTCAGATGAATAAAGAAAAGGTGATATATAAACTAAGCATGGTGGCATACACCTGTAACCCTAGCAACTTAGGAGACTGAAGCAAGGAGGATCACAAGTACCAGGTCAAACTCAGCAACTTAGGCAAAACCTATATCAAATAAATAAATAAAATGGCTAGGGATGTAACTCAGTAGTAAAGCAACTCTGGGTTCAGTCCCAAATATCAAAGAAGAAGGAGGAGGAGAAGAG